TTTATGTTTTCCCTCTCTTCCGCTCCTTCTCTCTCCTCCTTAAATTCTTCCATTGATTTCGATCTGAGAGAGCTTCTCCTTTAAGCTCGCACTCCGATCTGGTGGACTCTTGGGCGGCCTGCAATTGCTTGCAGAGGTGATCATCTTCTGATTCTTCCGTTTGTAACACTGTTTTATGTACTTCTATTTAACCTTTTGATCAGGGCTACGAAGTGCTCATTTTTTTTGCCGCAGAGATTTTTTCTCGAATACCCACTTTAGGAATTTGATTTCGTGTCTTCCAGTTTTGAATGCGTTTCAAATGATGTAGCTTATTCAATGATCCTTCCTGCCTTGTAGCTGTTTGACATAGCTGTAAAAATGCCGTCCTTATCCTGGCTGCAGAGCGTTGATTATTATTTTATCTGTTTGCCCCTTTCATGAATTGGAACTTTGGAATCTTTGTGGACGCTGTCTTCGTTTCATCGAGGCGTCTGTTTGTTAGTAATGTTTTTACTATTATTTTATAAGATCGTTTTTTGTCCTCAACTAGTAGATGTTGACTTGAATTGGTTGACAGTTTTGTTTCGAACTTCTTGGCTAATGCAGCACGATCCCGTATTTCTCCATGACTTTTCCCGATATTTTCAACAAAAGATTCTTAACAGAAGCGAAATTTCACCGTTGAATACAGAAATGCACTTGTTTTTCAGGTATATGAATGGAGAGGGTGCCTGGTTTTTAGGATTGTAGATGTTTTAAAGGAATGAAAGGAGTCTCATGGGGACTGATTGTAGGGGTGACAGTCGGCGTTGTGATCGGGATTCTTTTGGCAACAGTTGCATTGTTCTGCAATTGGTTGAGGAAAAGGAATCCTCAGATTGGAAATAGCAGCTCAAGGAGGGCTTACACTGTACCCATCCGAACAAATGGAGTGGATACCTGCACAGTACTCTCAGACTCAACCACTGGCCAGGAATCCCCGAGAATTCCAGAAGAGAACAGCATTTCATTATGGATTGAAGGACCTAAAAGAAAAGGTGTGATCTCGGTGTCTGGCATACCTAAGTATGCTTACAAGTAAGTTTATTTTTTACATCCTTCAGTTCTAAATTTTAGTTTCTTTGATGCGTTGATCGTCCTTGTTTTTATTCTTTCCCTAGCAAGCAACGCCGAATATAGTTGCCTTTGTTGAGCTGTTGTTCGAATGGATAATATTGTTTTAAATTAGTTATTGCTTCTGTTGGTGGACAACTTCCCGAAGATCCCTGTATCTATTATCCCTCGTGCTACTAGATCTTCTTGTTTTAAAATCCATTGATTGTTAGACTTTAGCATATTTAATTTCTTATTCCACTTTGCTGGTTGGAATGAAAGATGGTTTATGTTGAATTTAAGGAGACTTTATTAATTGCAGCTTTACATCCTTCAGTAAAATTATCTTCCACCTCATACAAGATATATTACGAAACAATTAAGAATATTCGTCAAGAAACCATATTGCTTATTTAATTTCTTCAAATTCATGTTTGTTTTGTTATTGGAAGAAATGAAGTTAACCTTTAGTTCTCCAATTATTGTGTGTTACCAATGTGATTCAGGCATGTATTTGGTATTAAATTACGTTTATTTCTTAAATATATGTTTATCCATAAATCTAAATATTTATTATGCCTTAGTGATCTGCTGCTATTTTCTTTCACTGAACTATAGAAATCTAGAATGTCAATGTTCTTTTTTACATCCTTTCTTTTTAAGAATATTTAATTAGGTAGTCATCCTGGATGGAATTATTCAAGAGTTAGAAAGGTGGCTGATATTCTTCAAGAGACATAAGCTGACATCATGTGTGATTCGGCTGATGCCTCTAATGATCTAGAGAAGGAAGAAGAGATTGAAGGATACAAGATGGAGAATAAGAGGAATGGTATTTTATTTGATTCAAATTTAATTTCAGAATAAGAGGAATGGTATTTTATTTGATTCAAATTTAATTTCAATACATAACCAGAACCATGTTTATAGATTTAGGATTCTCAATACTTTCTAAGAGTGCGTTGACTAACAAGTAAAGGAATTGTGTCTTTATTAAAGATATATGAAGTTATGAAAATATTTAAATTTTTTGAATTGAATAAACACATGCTTAATAGTTAATTTGGAAAAACAACCTGCAATCTTTTCTGTCCTACATCATTCACCCAGGCCAAAACAAACTCTTCTCCAAAGAGTGGGATGGTGACCATGGAGGTGGTGGAGGCAAGTTGGCTCATATGCAAATCTGTAATCAGCAGAAGAGGACAATAGGTATATATTTGGAGATGTTGGTGGCAATAAAAGCAGAATATTGTTCTAGACAGTGAACTCGATCTGATGGGGACATCAGAGTTTGAAGGGTTTATCACCGTAGCGACCGGAAATCTACGGCCTTGATTGAGTCTTTATATTTTTAGTTTTCATGTGTTATAGGAGATTTATGTGGTGCTATTTATTTTATTTCAGTTTTACCCTCAGTTGAGGGAGCTTTTGTGTTGTTTGGCGAAGGGCCTTCTTGTCTTTTGTTCTTTCATATTTTTTGTGCCTATATGTATGACACATTATTCTCTTGTATAGATGATGAATATTTTGATATAAATTTTTGGTTATATGTTTTCTCTTCTCTTTGTGAGTTGAGTTTGTGTGTGAAGTCTTTTGGAAAAAAGGTAAAGAAATACCCAATAGCGTGTGAGCTCTTGGTTGGTTTCATCTTCCCTCTCTATCTCTTTCTTCTCCTTCCCTAGCCGCCCAAACAACCTTCCATAGCAGCCGCAACTTGCTACCCTCAACTAACCGCCACCCCCCTTCCCTTCCTCTCCAACCGCCTCCACCTTCTCCCCAACACCCTTGACCCTTGGGCTTCCCAAAATTCTGAAATTAATTCACATTAATTGAGCATTTATCTCAATTAATTGTGACATTTGGAGATCCACAACCATTTTAACATTTCCCTTTCCCAAAGCAAACCACATAAGCCCTTTATCTTCCCAAAGCGGCTAACCCCACCTTTCACCTCCCAAGTTGACTTTTTCATTTCCCAAACCAACTAATTCCCTTCTCAAGCAAGCTATATCAGCCCTTTATCTTCCCAAAGCATCTAGCCCTACCTCTTCACCTTCCAAGCTAACTTTTTCCTTTCCCAAGCCAACTAATTCTCTTCCCAAGCAAGCCATACCAGTCACCTCACTATTTTATCTTTCCAAGGAAACCTAGCTTCTTCTAATGCAACAAGGACATTGATTCAACAAAGAGCAAGGGTTTCGAGGGCAAGCCAAGGAGGAACTTGTCGGCATTTCATCAAGGACTCTATTCCTCCCCTTTCATGAGATAAGTATCAAACACTCCCCTTTTTCTTCATCTAACTAAATATTAATTTTTCATTTCATCTATAGTAGCATCATCTCATATGTGTTGATTAATCTGTCAAGCCCTACTTAAATTTGAGTGATCAGAAACTCTAGTGACTAGTCCCTTAATTAAATGTTAGACTTGTGCCAACCCATGTTAGTTAGTCTAAATTGATTCACCTATTTTTGTATGTTTAGCCTTTATTTATTAGTTTCTTAATAGCATATGATCTAATAGTTCAAATTTTCTTCTTGTGCTTAATATTTTTTTTAAAGTTTATTTTATTGTCTTTGAAGTTTATTTTGATGTCTTTGATGTTATCTCAACATAAATCTCTAATTGATATTTATTTTGCAATACCTTACTGGAGCAATGAGCATTGCATCTTCTAGTGTGTGATGGATTACTAATTCACAACTTTGATGGGGTCACGTAATGTTACGATACAATGAAGTAGGTTGGAAATTGATGGTGTTGGTGTCTCTTAGCAAAGCCAACAACAACAATAACAACATCAAGCCTTTATCCCACTACGTTGGGTCGGCTACATGAATCATTTTTCTTGCATCCACTTTCTTATTTTCCACTATTGCTATTATTTTCCTGCTAAAATCCTTAATTTTTTATTTACGCAATTCTGTGTTCGTAAGGCTTACGCCTCAGACCGCCTCGAGGCGCAGTTACGCAATTTTAAACCTTGCTTTTTTCTTAATGTAACGACGGAGAGTTTTAACGAGCTTAGGTTCTGGGTGAATTTTGAGAAGGCATATTGTGTTTTGAATTAAGCATTACCCAGAGATTTCGACCTAATTTTGTGAGGACTTTATGATCTGAGTTCAAGTTTCTTATAGGTGCAAGCCCCTATAGTTAATTATCCATTTACCCCTCCCGATAATGAGAGAGAACTTTCGATTAAGGCTAGTCATTAAAGAGTTTGCATAGGTCGCAAACCTAGTGTATAATAGCAATAATTTTAGGGTTTGAATTTAGGATATGAATTTTGGAGTTTGAGACTTTAAAGTTTATCATCATAATCTTAAAACTAGTGATGAAGGAATAAAGAAAAGCCCGATCAATATCTCATGGTTCCGTCGTCCCGGGTTGTCATGGTCCCTGGTCTACTTAGTCAAAGGAGGTAGTCGACCTAACCTAACATAAGGCACATTATCAGCAACCATGGGTTGTTTCGTCCAAGAATATCTTGTGGACATGGGGTGGTGTTTGTCTAAGGGGATAGATTTGAATCCACTTAGCGGACTGAGGATTTTATGCCTATCAAATATACCCTATGATTCATTACTCAAGGGTTTGACGCTGTTAGGGAACATACTGGCTTTGGCCGTGATTGTAATATAATAGTGTCATGTGGCAAAATCACCCGATTAGAGGGCACGTGCCATGTCCCTACTAGCAAGAGATGTTTGAGGATGAATATTAGTGATACACTTAACACGAAATTTGCTCTTTGTGTGGTAAGGTTAATTTCAAATTTATCACTCTCAACAAATGATTGTCGAAGGTGGATGAGTTTTAATTTTAAGTTTTTAAGTGATATGTTTTATTTTAAGAATTTAGTCTTTTATTGGTTTTGAGATTTAACGCCTCTGGTTGATATTTACATTCAACATGGTCATCATCAGGGTGACGTTAAAATCACTTTTATTTTTGTAGGAATTTGGAAGACATTTTATGATTCAAGTTTAGGGTCTACAGTCTTTTCATGGAGGATGAAACTTAAATATTTGACTCGTGCAGCATTCTCAGACATTGGCGTTTGAAAATTTATCGTATTTGTCGGAGTTCATGCGGGTTATGTATAGTTTAAAAATATAATGTTATATTAGTGAGCATTTGACCCTACATAGCATTCTTAGACATTTTCTTTTGTAACTTTAACACATTTGTAGGAGCACATGCAAGAAAATATTTTAGTCTATTTGTGTAACAAATTTAACACATTGGCTAATGCTTACATATATATGAATAATACATTTGCCTAATGATTTATATATTAATATAAGACATTCATACTTGCATTTCATTCATAGTTCTTGCATAATATATTTCACTCATCAAATTTCCCTTAGGAGACTCATAGAAGCAATCAATTGTATAGATATTAGAAGTCTTGATATTATATGGATAGCCCACTTAAACTTGACTTCTTCTTCAAAGTCATATATCTTGTGCTTTCATGATTTTTCCTTAGCAATAGGTATGGCGTGTGCTCCATGCTATGCAATAAATGCGCAATACAAGTTCATGAATGTGTCATGGAGATGGCATTCTTCATTAAATGTGTGTTTTGCAAGCAATGTGGTATGCCATAATTCATGAGATCATCCATAAATGCTAATGGCACTTGTGTCGGAGGCATCTTAGAGAAGATTCAAAGGCTTAAGTTAAATGTTGGATGAGGGAGGAGGATTGTCGAAACGATTAACAAGATTTTCTGAGAAGTGTTCTGGAGGTGAATCACTGAGAGACGATCCTAAAAGGCACCCAAGAGAACTCTCCATTATTCGATTTTTGATATGAGGTTTATTGATGACATAGCACTGTCATATCTGTGAAGGGTCACATCAATCATAATTGTGGTGGAAAATGTGAACACCGAGGATTGCATCAAATCTTTAGGCAATCTTTGGATTTATATAGTAGCTAAATTGGATTTCTTACAAATCTTGTTGGAGTGAAGATTTAGCGAACTATAACCTGATAATGTGGTGAATAAGATGATTTGGAAGCACAAACAACAAAAAAATATTGGCAGCATGTGGTAATATCATTAAACCTAAAGAGATTATTAAATGTTTAAGCATATCATCTAGATCCTACAAATAATAGTTTGTCTAATAATTTATAGGCAAATCATTTCCCCAATAAGCATCCTGACTTTGATGATTGTGACCTTGATAATATATATCCACATAATTGGATGATGATTCCATAATGAATATTAAGAATTTTGTAATGTTATAGTTGATTCTATGTAATTGTAGCTTTAAAAGATAAGCAATTCATCATAAACATTCACTCTTCTTTGTCATATCGATGCCATAATAATAAACGAAAAAGTTCACAAAACATGCTTCCAAAATTTAAGAAATTAATAATATCTTAATTTGGTGTTATAGCGGAGTGAAGTATGATGATGATTCAATTTTAATTAGATGTAGAATTATTGAAAATTTTGGATCATCTTGTATTGATGTAGAAAGTACAATGAAAACTAAACGTTTATGATCTCTTTTTTATTAAAGGGTTTTGAGGGAAGGAATTAATCCTGTGAGGGTGTAAGAAGAAGGCAACTTTAGGGAAGTTGATGAAGGGGCAAATGAATTTTGGGGAAAGATCTAGCGATGAGCAAGAGTATGAAACTTAGAGTAGAAACTTGAAGGCTCTTGAGGCTAGATTACTCCACCTACCTATGCCTTTATATAAGTATGGTTTTGTGTCTTAAAGTATTATAAAGATCATGCACGGAGCTTCAAAGAGTCGAAGGCTTTTTTTTTTTAATTATTTTTAAGACTTTTCCTTACAATTCAGCCCGAGAATATATGTAAAATTATAGTAGGAGAAAGCACTAATTTGCTCGAGTTGTAGGCAATGAATTAGCTATACCAGGCGATGTAGCTACTTGAGCTGCAAATTACAAAGCCAAATGAGGAGCAAATAACAAAACTGCAGGAAGTGCAAGCTATGATGCTAAATTATGAGCAGTGATGAGCTACAAAATAGAGGAGCATCCGACAAAACCAATGGCAGACTTGGCGATGAAGATTACACGAAAGGAATCCAATGAAGCTGCAAATAGAGTACGTGGTGGATCCTTTGGAGAAGAAAGCAAGTTATAGGTGCAACAAAAGTCAGGAGAAAAGGATGTCGGAGTAGGCAAGAAAGTTGGGGTTTTCATGCTAAAAGAGAATAAGTTGCTCAAAATCCTCACTTCAAAATCATTAATAATTTGGATGTCATAAGTTCTTCCTCTTTTATGGGATTCTTGATTTTTCTGGCATGTAAGAGTTGGATAAACCACTCCTTACAACCCCACTGAGACTTTTTGTCTTCTTTAATTGCTTGATTGCACACACCAGAAGACTTTCTTCGTACTTCAGAAATCCTAATCTGGTTTCCCGTATGAAAAGAACGTTGCAGGAAGATAATTAAATAACCATTTCGACTTTTCCACGGAAAATATTTGCTAAGTTGCAACTCTCAGTATTTGTTTTACCTTTACCTTCTCGAAATTCAATGGTGGGATACTTCTCTGTAGAATTGTTCTAGCTGTGGGGCTTTAGAATCTTTAAAGTATTTTTTGCTCATTAGTTCCTCTCTGGCTCCTGTTTACTATTAACAAAGCTGTACTGTGGCAATCACAGGGATTTGCAGAAGGCAACTTCTAATTTTACAACTTTGATTGGTCAAGGGGCTTTTGGTCCAGTATACAAAGCTCAAATGTCAACGGGTGAGATAGTTGCAGTCAAAGTGCTAGCTACGGATTCTAAACAAGGCGAAAAGGAATTCCAGACAGAGGTAATGGCGATAAGAGAATAATTCTTTTTGCTTAGGACATAATAGAGAAAAATGATTTATATAGTTGGCACCACGTAATGGAATAAAGGCTTGTTGTTGTTATTGTGTAGGATAACTTTCATGTTCCTAAATAAAACCCATCAGTTAATTTTAATCACTACATGAACCTAACGTGCTGTTTACATTCAAATCTGTATTGTTATGGTAATACGAACTGCCGAATGTAACTATTAAATTATAAGGAATCCAACTGGAGTCATAAATTGCTTGTTAATGGTGCCAAGGATGTGGACGTAAATGCTTAGTTGAGCTTTTGTGGCACAGGATTTTTTTTTTTTTCATTAATTACAACAGCAGCACTCATCAAAAAAACCATCAGCCAACAGGTTAGTTAAGCGCATACAAAAAATTGATCAAATCTAATAGTTTCAACTTTCTAAGTATGTTTTATTGAAACACTATTCTTTAAATTGCTTCGAATTAGCTTGCTTGGTATGGCACTTACAATGCTTTTGATGACACTTGTAATTTCCAGGTTCTTCTTCTTGGGAGATTGCATCACCGGAACCTTGTAAACTTGGTAGGATATTGTGCAGAAAAAGGCCAGCATATGTTAATATATGTCTACATGGAAAATGGCAGTCTTGCTTCTCACTTGTACAGTAAGTTGGATTTAAAAAGCCTTTACAATTCAGTTTTGGCTGGTCTTTTTCTTGATTATTTCCGTTATTTTTCACAAACGCATTGGATTCTTGTTTAATAATATGACCTTATCCTTAGCATCTAATTTGGAAATATTCTATCGTATGTTATTCTTGCTAGGCAGTTTGCATTGTATCAAACTTAATTTGGAAATACTCATGTGAATGTGCTACCAAAAATGTGTAGAGTAGCACTGCCACTTTTTTTCAATGATATCGGGAGGAAATTGAGTTTGCTATGTCAAGTGTTAATGTTTGTTAGACAGCTCAATATATTAACTTTGATACATTATCATGAAATAATCTTGATCGGGCGCGAATCTCGAGGAAAAAACCAACCCGGAAACTTCAAAAATTAAATTTGGAAGCACCCGAACTCCGATTTCAGCGAGCTTACAGTCAAACTAAGCGTCTCGGAAATACGAACCCAACGACACCAAATTCAACCCAATCCGAGCCCAAATGGGTCCAAATCAAGGACCCGAAGCGCTGTTGGAAGCTTCAAACCGCAAGCATATGTTAATATATGTCTACATGGAAAATGGCAGTCTTGCTTCTCACTTGTACAGTAAGTTGGATTTAACAAGCCTTTACAATTCACTTTTGGCTGGTTTAGCACTGCCACTTTTTTTCAATGATATCGGGAGGAAATTGAGTTTGCTATGTCAAGTGTTAATGTTTGTTAGACAGCTCAATATATTAACTTATTATGTTTATTAATGTGAGGACTAGCAAAATAAGAGATCAGAGTTCCTAGAGAATTGCAAAACTTCCCTCATTCAATCAAATTGTTTCATTGTGAAGCTCTGGCTTGTTGATGTAGGACAAGAAAATGTCTAGGGTCTCTAATGCAACCTCCGATGAAATGGAATATAAAAACACAAAAAAAATGCAATCCACAAGTTACGAATTCATACAATAACAACATCAAGCCTTTATCTCACTACATGGGTCCGCTACATGGATCTTTTTTCTCCATTATGTCATGTTAAGAGTCAAATTCTTAAATCTAATAAAAAAATATTATTTCTAATATTTTCTAACCAAGTCTTGTTAGGTCTACCTCTACTTTTCTTAACATAGGCTAAGTCTAATACATTTGCTCTCCTAAATGGATCATCGAAAGGCTGACATTTTATGTGAACAAACCATCTAATGACATAATTTTAGTAAAAACTTATTTTTAATGTTAGGATATCATGTTTTACTCATTCCAAAAATAGCTTAAAAACCATCCAATTCTAAAATTATATAAGAAAAAGAGTGATAAACTTAAATTTTTTAATATGGTCAATTATATGCTTCGTAAAGGAATCCAATATGTATCTTAATTGATGAAATTTCAATCATTACACAAAAACAATGTTAAAATAATTCAAAAGATAAGAATATGGATAGAGATAAGTAGCTCAAAAGGGAGAATTAGGCATCATGCTAGTACAAAGAGTCTCCCCTCCAAAACGATCATTCACATACATGAAGCACTCGAAGAATCCACATTCAACAAGCATATTCACATTCATATTAAGCCCAGATTCATCCTCAAATAATCTCTTGTCAGCGAGGACGTGGCACGTGCTCTATGATCGGATGGTTTTGCTGCAAAAATGGCATCATTATATTACGATTATGGCCAAAGCCCATATGTTACCTAAAGGCGTCAAACTCTTGAGTAATGAATCATATAGGGTATATTCGATAAGCGTAAAGCTCTATGTGAGCTATGATGGATTCAGATCTATCCCCTTAGATAAATACCATCCCAGGTCTACAAGGTATCATTAGATGAAGCAACCTATGGCTGTCGATAAGATGTTTTCTGTCAGGTTAGGTTGACTACCTCGTCTAACTAAGTAGACTAGGGACAATGATATCCCTGGATGACGGAATAATGGGATCTTGATCGGGCTCGTATTCACTTCCCCCATCACCTGTTTTAAGTTTAATATGATAAACTTTAAATCTCAAACTCCAAAATTCATATCCCAAATTTAAACCCTAAAATTATTGCTATTATACATTGGATTTGCGACTTCTTTAATGATTAGCCTTAATTCAAAGTTCTCTCTCGTTATCGGGAAGGGTAATTATTTATAGGGGCTTGCGCCTATAGGAAACCTGAACTTAGATCATAAAATTCTCGCAAAGTGAGGGTGAAATCTCTGGGTAATGTCTTATTAAAAATCAAATATACCTTTGGAAAATTTGCCTCGGAACTTAAATGTTAAAACTCTCCTCGAAACTCGAAAAAAGAAAGGGGATCCGCGGAGAGGTTGGGGTGCAAAATTTTTGGAGACCACAAGAGAAAGAAACAACAGTTAAATCAAGGCAAAAGTTGCAAGTGTAATTTACAGAGAAATGGGAATTGCAACGGGTAGTTTTTAGCAATTTTCATTGTAATAATAATTTTAAACTCTATAGTTGCTCAGGTGGTGCCGAATGTTGGCCATTAAAAGAGAAACATAATACTAAGTTAAGTGTGGCAGAGATGAGGATGCTCAGGTGGATGAGTGGCTTTACTCTTAGAGATAGGATACGAAATGAGCATATACGTGAAAAGGTTGGAGTAGCTCCAGTAGAAGATAAGATTAGAGAGAGTCTCCTTAGATGATTTGGTCACATAAAATGGTGGCCTTCTGATGACCCGGTTAGGAGAGTAGAGGTACTAGATTTGACTTATGTTAAGAAAGGTAGGGGTAGACCTAAAAAGACTTGGTTAGAAAATATTAGGAATGACCTTTCTTTATTAGATTTAAACGAGAATTTGATTTTTAATAGGACACAATGGAGAAAAAGGATTCATGTAGCCGACCCCAAGTAGTGGGATAAAGGCTTGATGTTGTTGTTATTGTTGTCTATAGCTGCTGAGATGAAACCATGCAACAATGAGTTATACCTAATAGACATTTCAAAATACTAGAAAACACATCCCATTTGGAGTCAACATCATAGTCATTTTTCACATAGAAAAACTTTTTTAAGAAAAAAGGCAATGATAAAACTCATATATAACATCAATTTTATGTTTTTGACAAGAGTATGCTTTCAGATTTCCATTAGATTTGCTCAACTTGGAAAAAGTTGTCTCCAATGTATTAATTTGATATTTTTTAAACAAATTTGGGCATTATTGCTCTATTTCCTGTAGAGTAATCCATATATGATCACATATTGGCTTACTAATTTATATGATACCTCTGATATCCACCATCAGTAGTTGATACAATCCCATTATTCATAACAACTTTAAGAGTAAGTTGAATTGACCTATTTTGTAAGGTGTTGGATGTGAATTCCCGAGGATAGAAGGGAAAGAGAGAAAAATCTAAGATATTGGCTACAAGTTCATGAAATACATTTAAATTAGATGTTTTGAATAAAATGGTGATACTAATACTTTTGAAAATTTTAATTTGCAAGCATTAGTCTCAATATATTGCAAAATTTTATATATCCTTATGTTTCATATATTTAATTTCTTGAAGGCTCTTTTAAAAAACTTTTTTGAATTTAGATGCATCATTGTCTTAACTCTTTGTTTAAATTCTATAGAGAAAATGATCAAAATGGTCTCTTGACTTTTTAGAAAGGATTAAAATGATCCCCTACTAAGCTAAGAGACTATTTTGGTCCCTCAACTCTTTAAAATGGTATAATTTTGATCACGACCTTAAAAATTAATAGAAAAAATAAGTAAATGTGGGATGGCGGGAGGCTATTTTACAACAAGAACAACAACAACATCAAACCTTTGTCCCACTACGTGGGATCAGCTACATGAATCCATTTTCACCATTGTGTCCTATTAATAGTCAAATTCTCATTTAAATCTAATAAATAAAGATCATTTCTAATATTTTCTAACCAAGTCTTTTTAGGTCTACATGTACGTTTCTTAACATAAGACAAACCTAATACTTCAACTTTCCTAACCGGGTCATCGGAAGGCCTTCGTTTAATGTGACCAAACCATCTAAGGCGACTCTCTCAAATCTTATCTTCTACTAAAGCTACTACAAACTTTTTACGTCTCTGCTCATTTCGTATCCTATCTCTAAGGGTAAAGCCACTCATCCACCTGAGCATCCTCATCTCTACAACACTTAACTTAGTATTATGCTTCTCTTTTAATGGCCAACATTCGACACCATAAAGCATTGTAGGTCTCACCACCATCTTATAGAATTTTCCCTTAAGTTTGAGAGGGGGCTTTTATATCACACAACAAGCCCAATGAATTTCTCAACTTCAACCATCTAACTTGAATTCTACTAATAATATCCTCATCTATTTCACCATCACTCTGAACAATAGATTCAAGATATCTAAAACGTGTACTCTTATTAATGAATTGATCGCCCAAAGTCACAATCCCCTCATTAGGTCTATTCCTCCTAAAATTACACTCCATATATTCAGTTCTAGATCTACTCAAGCTAAAACCTTTAGACTCTAAGGTTGCCTCTATAATTCAAGTTTACCTTAAACTCCCTCTCTAGTCTTATCAACATGAAGAATATCATCAGTAAAAAGCATACAACAAGGTACATCCTCTTGCAAATGTCTAGTGAGAACATCCATGACTAAAGCAAAAAGATATGGCTTAAGGCTGATCCTTGATGTAATCCTAGCAAAATAGGAAAATACTTGGTCAAACAACCTTGTGTTTGAACATAAGTAATAACTCCTGCATGCATATCTTTAATGATTTGAATATAAGCGTTATTAATGCTCCATAACTCACTCCCATAATTTTAAAGCATGACATATTAACTTAATTCATCTTTAATTCACACAATCCTGTGAATCACCTTTATTCTTAAAAATATGAATTAACACTCTCATTCTCCACTCATCTAATATCTTTTGTCTTCAAAATAGTATTAAAAAGTTTAGTAAGCTAAGAAATTCTTTCATCTCCTAAGCATTTTCACACCTCTATTGGACTATCATTAGGTCCA